AATTTCTATAAGTTCTATATAAAGTCGTCCTTCCCACCACACACTAGGCCTACGCTTTCTTTTCCAAACACGTGGTAAATTTCGACAAGTTGCTGCGTTTTTCAGCAACTTCAAAGGGACCGTATCGTCACCAAGAGAACATCCAGGTTACAGCAAACTATAATTAAGACAGCTTAGGGTAGGTACTATTACATTTAGACGAAGTTGACTGGTTTGTTTGTTGCTTGAAGTCAGGTCATTTAATTTTTATAAAATAACAAAAATAGAAAAAAAAGAAGAAAAAAAGAGGTTGTGTCAAAGAAAGTAGGCCTACAATTGGCTTACAAACGATATTGAGTAAACGATATTGAGTAAACGATATTGAGTAAATTATTGGTCCGGTTAAAACCGGACCTGCCGGACCGCTTCCGACGCCCTTGCCCTATAGTATATTCCTTTGTTTTGGAATTTCAATTTATTTTTTTTTCGCACAATATTTGTTTAATTGATATTTTTATTTTCTGACAAAAACAAATTGAAAAATATACACATATTAGACTTGACTAAAGATTAAACATTTAAAAAAAATAAATAAAAGATACTGACGTACATCATATAAATGGAAAATAAACTCCATATATTTAACGTCATTATAATCAATAAAATTTTATACTTCTAAAACTTTATAGTTCATTCCATTTTTTAGTAATTATAGCAAAGCAATGAAGAGATTTAAGTATTGATGTACATTTATTGAAGTATTTATTGATGTACATAAAATTGAAGAATTGGGAAAAAACCCCATAATTATTGGAGGTGATTTTACACACTTTTGAATTCATGTTGATAAAAAACATGGCAAGGGACAAACGCACCCAAAATGCAATGAGCAAATTAATCGAATTACCGAACAATTAAATGTAATTGATATTTGGAGAGTACAGAACCCGACGAAGCAGTTGTTCACATGGCACTCCAATTATTCTCCCCCCATTATTTTGTAGAATTTATTATTTCCTCATTTCATATTCTTTATGGGCGCAAGTAAATAGCACTTCAATTACATCAGGATTTAAGACTGATCATTCACTTATAACGCTATCTACAGGATTGAAAGAGAGAAGTGGAAAGAAAACCATGAGAATCACAATTTGGATCGGAAGAATGAAAAGTCAGATAATATGCCAGTAAAACAGTCGTCGTTGCGGCGTTTTCAAGGCGCGAGACGAGGACCACAGACACGGAAAGCGGCCATTACGCTAGCTGCACTTGTCATGGTCTTTTTAATCTGTTGGCTGCCATATAATATATATATAATTATTGAAAGAACTTGAAAAAGTCTAGATGGCACTGTCTATGTATTATTGTATGCTTCAGAATAAATATGTTTAAACTGCAGAATCTGGTAAAAAGTTTGTTTTTGTTGCTGATTTAAAAAAAAAATATGACATCAATATAACAACATTTTTTATTCACAAACTCGAGGTTGTATCGACGTCGATGAATGAGATTGTTTCAACGCTAATACCTGATGTCCAGCTTTGTCTACCCTCTTGTCAACCTCGAATTAACGTTGATGTTTTACGCTAATCCAACGTCGATATTTAACTCGCTCTACCGTTCAAAACTAACGTTAACCCAACTATGTGTCGACGTCGATTTGCGGACGTTGCTTCAACCATGATATCTGAGTCAATTAAGTCGATATTTGACGTCGATTCACTTTTCAAATCCAACGTTTATCCAACCTCCTGTCGACGTCGATGCGTGACGTTGTTTCAATGTTGATATTTTACGTCGATTCACCTTTCAAATCCAACGTTTATCATACCTCTTGTCGACGTCGGTACTTGACGTTGTTTCAACGATAATAATTGACGTCGATCCACCTTTCAAATCCAACATTTATCCAACCTTTTGTCGACGTCGGTACTTGACGTTGTTTCAACGATAATAATTGACGTCGATCCACCTTTCAAATCCAACATTTATCCAACCTCTTGTCGACGTTGGTACTTGACGTTGTTTCAATGTTGATATCTGACGTCAATCCACCTTTCAAATACAACATTTATCCAACCTTTAGTTGACGTCGGTACCTGACGTTGTTTCAACGTTGATATTTGACGTCGATTCACCTTTCAAATCCAACATTTATCCAACCTCTTGTCGACGTCGGTACTTGACGTTACTTCAACGTTGATATTTGACGTCGATCCACCTTTCAAATCCAACATTTATCCAACCTCTTGTCGACGTCGGTACTTGACGTTGTTTCAACGATAATAATTGACGTCGATCCACCTTTCAAATCCAACATTTATCCAACCTCTTGTCGACTTCGGTACGTGACGTTGTTTCAACGTTGATATTTGACGTCGATTCACCTTTCAAATCCAACATTTATCCAACCTCTTGTCGACGTCGGTACTTGACGTTGTTTCAACGTTGATATTTGACGTCGATCCACCTTTCAAATACACCATTTATCCAACCTCTTGTCGACGTCAGTACTTGAAGTTGTTTCAACGTTATATTTCACGTCGTTTCGACGTTGACAATTGACGTCAATACGACGTTGCGCTGATAAACGTCGATCCAACGTCGACATTTGGCGTCGATTCACCTTTCAAATCCAATGTCTATTCGAAGTTGCTTCGACGTCGGTAAATGACGTTGTTTCAACGTTGATTCAATGTGGAATATCTGCTGGGATGATTATATTAGGGGGTGCTAGACGACTGGGGCGCGAGCTTCCTTTTTTGGTGGGGAGGGGTGGGCGTGCTCCCCCGACCACCCACTAAATACGCCACCGCCCCACAGACTACCAGGTGAGCCTACTCAGAAGGTTATGAAGGAAGAATTGGATGCCAAACGCCAGACACTAATAACAAATCAATGAAAGGGTTTATGACCGGTTGAGCCGCCGACAAGTTGAGCCGCCGGTCATTTCTATGAAACGCCAAGCGCGTCTCTCAGTGAATGTAGTGCGTTATATTATAAAGTGTTTAAAATGCAACTTTACCTTCCCTCGTTTAGATGCTCCTTCGACTACCGTATAGGTTATCGCCAGTTCTTCAAGTTCTACCACCGGGTTGAGTTGTGGATAAGGGTTTCCAAATCATCTTCGATGAAGTCCTCCGGTTCCACAAAGCCACCTAATTCTGCGGCATATACGTCTTCTTGTGGCTCAACAGGATTTCTCTCTAACATACACTCGTTGCATGACCAATAAAGGTAACCGTCTTCCATTCCTTGCCGCTATTGCTCTCGCGTTATCCCAGTCCCACATACTCGATGTTGCCACCTCTCGCACTCTTCACACAACACACCTTCTTGACGTTCAGTAACTGGTTCCTTGCACACGATACACTCGTACATGATTGATATTGATAATTACAGTAAGAAAAACTAATCGAAAGTGACAGTGTTGGCATTTTTGCATCATTTTATTTAGCAAATTTTGCAACAAAGGTGCGTTTTTAAACAAAAGTGTATTGTTTTAACGCAAAGCATGCCGCCGCGAGCGCTGCCCGTGGAATCACGCGCCGGTACTGCTTTGTAGATTATCTGTTGTTCAGCATTTTATTGTCTCATTTGCACATACAGTACTTTGAAATCAAACACATTTTTTTCCTTTTCAGAAATCATGAAATGTAAATTTAATATAAATTTAATTATCAATTCAATACAACTTGCACATCATTTTCAATTACACAACTTATACATTTTTATAAATGTTTCCGAAAAACGAAAACCAAACGTAACAAACACATTAAAGAAATAATACACTTTAAATATATTTATTTAAACTTTACAAGTTACACATTATGTTATTGTTTTATAAACACTTTCGATTCAATTTTTCAATTACAAAACTTATACTTTTAAAAATATGTTAAAACGGAAACCAAACGTAAATAAACACATTAAAAATAATCAAGCTATTACATTTTTAATACGATTTTGCAATTATACAACTTCATTTATTTCATTTATTTTTATAAAAATGTAGTACATAAAATAATCAAAATTCTAATTTAAAATAATTGGTTGGTGGCTATTCTATATAATTGCACGGTATAATTTACATATATCCACAGTTTTCAATAAAATTCAAAACAAGAGAACTTACCGAAAAAGTTTGTTCCAAAAGACGTTTGTTTTAAAACAGCGGTAGTTAAAGTTGATGCGGCAAAAGGAATAGGCCTAGTTCGTACGACCTGCGTTTTCAACTGACAGGTGTGTATCTGCGTATGTCATCTATATGACATAGGCTTCAATTTCAGATAACTTGACACTTGAGAACACTAATTACTATTGGTCCTTAAAGAGCCTAATGTGTTGCATATGGAATAGTTCACTACAGTCGAAATCTAGCACAAAAGTTCTATGACTACAATATTAAAGATGTGTAGCTGTGTAGCCTACTGTATGTTATGGGTTCATACCCAGGGCTGGGGTTTGTGAAGTACAGCTATTAACATCATATCAATAAATACCGTAGGCCCTACAATAGCTGTATATATACATATATATTTAAAGAATTTGTGGAAAAACATAAACTAAATATCAATAATAAACTTGTTTTTTATTTAATTATGTTTTATCAGAAAATACAAACCATTAAAATAATATAAAATAAATTTGTACTCGTCAATTGTATATTACACATCATATATACTTGTGCAAAATAAAACCATGACAAACACCAAGCAATTACCAGAACAATAAGTTTCTTTGTTACAACATTTTTTTCTCCAAAAACCTGTTTTTTTTTAAGGTGTCATGAGTAAATCCTGACCTGTAAAGGAGCAATTCATACCAGAATTTTTTAGTAGGGTATTTTAGGGTAGGACTATTTAACAATACAAAATAGCTTAAATGCGTATTAAAATACATAAAAGAAAAGAGAAACAGACCTGGAACACTCACCAAAAATGAATTACTACATCCACATAGACATTTTTAAAATTTTCGTACAAAAATATATTTCGATCAGTAAATGAGCAATTTAGTGATTTACATGAAGGTGATTTTTTTATTTGACCTCAGGAAGTATATATTTAAAAATACAATATAACCTATAAATATACAGCAGCTAGTTCATTATCGTAATCATCATCTAACAACACTTCAAGAAACATGATCACATATATTATACATATAAAACTTAAAAACTATTAAAATCTGGCACACTTATACCGAGTTTTATTATAATGTTGATATATATGATATAATGCTGAAACTTCTTACTTCCTTATATTTGTATGTGCCTAGCCTTTGTAAATGTTTTCTTTTGTATATTTAATACTGAGTATCAATATAAGAAACTAAAAAGAAATAGGAAGTGTATACTTTGGTAAAAGAGCACAGAAATGTAATAACTTTTAAAGAGAAATAGAAAAGGTATCTAGTAAACGTATTCATAAATAACATTTTGCATGCCAAAATAGGCATTAAACATGGACATGTTTAGGCAGAATTAGTACAAGACTTTCGTATTGTTTTGTTCGTAAAATTAGAAAATAATGTTTTCTTTTTTTGTATATTTTTTACATTGATAACAAAAAGTTGTGTTGTAAGAACAAATGCACTATCAATGAGTTAGGTGGTCGATTTCGTAAATGTTAAAGGCAACACCAAAATCAATCACACAAATTTGGTTCTAGATGGCTTTAATCAGGTTCATTATAGGAATGACAGAATGGGCTAAATTAGAGGTTGATGATGCATAATGACCATCTGCAGGTGCCCCTTGCACTAACCCATGTAAAGGTCATTTTTAAATGTTTAGTCAGGTGTTGTTCATTGCAAATTGATCATTATCAACTCCCATTTATCCAAAATATTATCTGGGGCAAAACAACATCTCTTCCCCACTTTCAATTCTTAAACTGCATTTCATGATGGAATGCATGCTAATTTAGCATTTTTGCCATTAACAGTTTGGGATATTAGTAGTTTGAGAAAACATCTGTTTGTTTATATTTCTGTTTCTGTTCCTTCACTTTGAGTTGTTTACTGTCATTCTAATGTGGTGCTTATAGGCCTTATGTCTTGTCCTCACTATTTCACTACCTCCCAATCACCCTCATTCGATGTTATGACTCCTTGTTAAGGAGCTGTAAACCTGCTTGTCGGTGACCATGCTACGACTGTTCCAGTCAACGGATAACAGCAACTATAGAATTCATTATACACAAACATTCGCTAAAGGAAGCTGCATTAAGACCAGTGTAGCTCCTGTGATTATGTATTCACATGAACGAACGAATGATGCCTCCTCTCTCTTGCTTAAAGCACATCAATTTAAGTAAATAGATGATGACAGCTCGAACTATTTTTCAAAGTGTTGCATGTGGTCCCAGCATGTGACTCTAGGGAACTCTTACACCTTTGATTGTGAAGGATGGTCGATGTCGTTTCGTTGACATAAACTGGATTCGTGGCGTGTAATTTCCAGGACCAGGGTTGTTTGCTAAAACAAAAAATATCAAAAGTCTAGAGTAACAAATTTATAAGGCTTAAAATTACAAAAAATAAAATTATATATTTGAATTTGCCTACATTAATATTAATATTAATAATAACAAAAATAATTATATTTATATAGCACTCTTATATTATTAGCTTTCAATCGAACATTAGAAAATATTTTCTTTGCAAATGAATAAACACTTAAACATTCTAATTTAATACTGTATAAAATCGTAAATTGGTACAATTATAATTTATTAAATAATTTTTTTTAAAAAAAGGTAAGACTTACGGTCTGTATTCCTGATGGACGTACATGTTCCAGTGTGCCTGGATCCAAATGTGTACGCTGGAGCACTGGGTAACGTCAACGCAATTGATCTATGAGGATAGTACTCATTTGGAGAAGGCTCATATTCCGATCCTGTGATAAAAAAAAAATTATTATATAATATTGTAAAATAATTTTTAATGTACATTTTTTATGAATAGCTTTTGGTACATTTCTCACGGTTTCTAAGCTTATTGAATTCCCTACACTCATATGAATTTGAGACCCTAATTGTTCCCTTGGTTTGTTTTCTGTAAATATTTTGGTATAAATATTTGCAAATATGGAATTTTATTCCTGATGGTCTAATTAAATGTTGAAATATTATTTTATTTGGAGTTTATTTGTGATGGTCAGTGAAACTACTTAGATTTGCATTTAAATTATAATATTAAAATTTAATCAAATATCATTTCTAAACGACAATGGTATCTGATGCTTTTAAGACAAGTCATTTGTACTTCATTATGTGTCTTCGAGTTGACCAACACATAGGCCTACATTTCATTATTCAGTAATATTAAATCACATTAAAAGAAGATCCCAATGTGTATTCATTGCATATAAGGCAAATTCATGAGAACTTATTGTAGTAAATTAATGGCATTAAGAGAAACCATCTGTGATAAACTAAAACACTTGAAAAATTCAGGTGCGGATCCAGGGCTCACGCTGGGTATCACACAAATGATGTCATATGGGATGGATTCCCACTAAAAATCAGAGAATATTAGGATGAAATTTCATCAATATGATGATGAAAACGATGACTACGGCATGGTACGAATCATGTGGGATTAATGAGTGCAAAGTGAAACCATGGACAATAAACCACAAAAGGCCTCCTGTGGTAAACTACATTTTTGTTTCTATAACCATTAAAATTCTGCCCAGGCTTTATGACAGCCAATTTATTATCGTACAACAAAACATACAGAGAAGATTTGCTGGTTTTTCTATAAAAAAAAAAAAAACCTCAAAAAAAAAAAAAAAAAAAAAAAAAAAAAAAACACGAATAATTAGGAAAATAGGTAGCAGTGGCTGTATTTTCTTGAACACAATAGTTCTGATAATTCAAAATGCTAATAGAAATATGTTTTCAAAAGAGTATTTTTGTAGTGTATTATCCCGATAATGCAGTTGCTTTAGAAATAATTTTTCAAAAGAATATTTTTGTAGTGCATTGCCCTTGGCATAAAGCCAACATAAATAATGGAATACATTGTATAAATTGCAAAATAATAGTATTTTCTAAAAACCGAAAGGTCCACTGATTAATCTCAGATAAGAAAGTATAATACATACTCCAAGTATTGAAATACACGCCATCGTGTTGAATCCCAACACGATGGAGTGTATTTCAATACTTGGAGTATGTATTATACTTTCTTATAGTATTTTCTGTTAGGCTTCCTCATTGGCAGGCGTAACAATAAATAGTCCAAATTTTTTTTGTCCACAGTAAAATAAATTACTAGTACAGGTATTTGGCATATAGGTCTAAAATGCTTACAAAGTTAAAAAATTATACCATTTAAAATAAAAATTGACATCGGGGTTTTAATCCTGATTAGCAGCAGCAACACTTAAAGCATGTGGACCCAATGAATGGAAAAGAACTGCGCTTTATAACATCATGAAAGAGGTGCATTATAAATGCTTATACCGGCCAGTACCAGTACCCGTACATATTATGTTATACACTGACTGCGGTAGGCCTACTGAGTGTGCATACAAAGGCTATTGACGAAACACAGTGAATTTATTACTTTATATCTATATTCTTTTATAATAAATCTTTGCATTTGTATTTGATTTCTGTTGATACACAATGTCTCTATGAAATTGAATTTTTTTTTTGACCTCTAAAATCCTGAAAATGGCTCTGGTGACCAGCATGCTTCGAACCCTGAAACCTTACCAGGGCCGGTGTCACTGATGAGCCGAGCTCATTTTTCCTGTTTTTATGTACATGATAAACCAATAAAAATTAGATGTTGTTTCCCACCTTTCTGGATGGAGGTGGAGGGGGCTTAATAAATTTGGTTGTTAAACCCTGGTCCGGCTACCCTTATCCCCCTCAAGAGGCGGATACACGATTTAGAGTTTGTGGGAACTAGAGTTAATTCATACCCAGTCAACCCCCATCATGGTTGATGAGCACATTTTGGATGCCAGAAATTGTGCCGCTTCCTTAGGCCACCTTCAGGGGCGAAGACATACCTACCTCAGCCCCATTGGTTGGGGCTGAGGTGTGGTGATAACATATTTTATATTGTTATTTTATTTTTATACCTCTATGTATTTTTAAAAGTAAGCCGGTGTGGCTGGTGTGGTGCCAATGGACCTGAACTGGAATATGGGAAGTCGCTAGAATCCCAAAAGGGAATGCATGTTGTAATATTTACTATCAGCTATCAGATTTTTTTAAATAGGCAATATAAATACTGTCTGAAGTATTTGTGAAGTAATAATAATATTAAATGCTTGCATTTTCACAAATCCGAACCTTTTTGTAAAGTATCAGATGTAAACTAATTACAGTGCACACAAATGACAATGTAAGCATGTACAATGGGCAAATATATTTGTGTGTGAAATAATATAATTATTTATAACTGTATTTATGTCTCGTCATTTCGAATGTGTTACTTCAATCAACAAAATCAACAACAAAAGTTTGTTTGAGAACTACATGTACCGCAATTTAATACAATATGAATTACTGTTGTAAAATAATTATATATTACTTCACACACAAATATTTCTGTTCATTGTACATGTTTACATCATCATTTGAGTTTGGCATACAGTACTAATACAAGCCCCAATTAACCTCCAGCAATTTATATATTGTAAATCAATCGATCAAGCAACTTTTATTTCACATACGATTTACAATATTGTACATGTTTACAATGGCATTTCCCGTGCATTGTAATAGATTGCATTGGTGACTTTTGCACATGCACAAGCTTAAACATTTGGGCACTATACTGATTAAAGTCTCATTTTAAAACATTACACATAAACAATGGTAATAAGGCACTGTCCCAACACAAGGGTAGACTCAAAATTATTTTAAACAGGGGGAATTGTATTACTTTTTTTTTTCTTATTTCAATACATTACATTGATACGCACTAAAATTTTAAAATTTTAAAATTTAGTGTCAAAACGGGAGCACATTTTGGATGCCAGAAATTGTGCCGCTTCCTTAGGCCACCTTCAGGGGCGAAGACATACCTACCTCAGCCCCATTGGTTGGGGCTGAGGTGTGGTGATAACATATTTTATATTGTTATTTTATTTTTATACCTCTATGTATTTTTAAAAGTAAGCCGGTGTGGCTGGTGTGGTTCCAATGGACCTGAACTTGAATATGGGAAGTCGCTAGAATCCCAAAAGGGAATGCATGTTGTAATATTTACTATCAGCTATCAGATTTTTTTAAATAGGCAATATAAATACTGTCTGAAGGTTTGCATTGTGAAGTAATAATAATATTAAATGCTTGCATTTTCACAAATCCGAACCTTTTTGTAAAGTATCAGATGTAAACTAATTACAGTGCACACAAATGACAATGTAAGCATGTACAATGGGCAAATATATTTGTGTGTGAAATAATATAATTATTTATAACTGTATTTATGTCTCGTCATTTCGAATGTATTACTTTAATCAACAAAATCAACAACAAAAGTTTGTTTGAGAACTACATGTACCGCAATTTAATACAATATGAAATACTGTTGTAAAATAATTATATATTACTTCACACACAAATATTTCTGTTCATTGTACATGTTTACATCATCATTTGAGTTTGGCATACAGTACTAATACAAGCCCCAATTAACCTCCAGCAATTTATATATTGTAAATCAATCGATCAAGCAACTTTTATTTCACATACGATTTACAATATTGTACATGTTTACAATGGCATTTCCCGTGCATTGTAATAGATTGCATTGGTGACTTTTGCACAAGCTTAAACATTTGGGCACTATACTGATTAAAGTCTCATTTTAAAACATTACACATAAACAATGGTAATAAGGCACTGTCCCAACACAAGGGTAGACTCAAAATTATTTTAAACAGGGGGAATTGTATTACTTTATTTTTCTTATTTAAATACATTACATTGATACGCACTAAAATTTTAAAATTTTAAAATTTAGTGTCAAAACGGGGAGAGGGGGAATCTGCACCTGCAACAGTATAGACCAACATTAGTTATAATGACTGACATACAGTAATGACATATCATTAGGATGTGCACTGATTTTAAGTATGTCACTTTAAAAATTGACAAGGCCATTTTGTATTTAAAAATTGACAAGGCCATTTTGTTAAAAAAAAAATGTTTCGTTTTTATTTATTATCAGGATGCCTAATGATGCTTAAATAAAAGAGAAGTGTCACACATCAATCTAAAAAGCCTCTATGGGACAAGCCCATTTTGTAAAAAAAAAAAAAGTTTCGTTTTTATTTATTATCAGGATGCCTAATGATGCTTAAATAAAAGAGAAGTGTCACACATCAATCTAAAAAGCCTCCATGGCTTTTCCCCAAGAGCTAATAGGCATACAATAATTCCATTCTTTACAAAATAAATATCTTCATATATCTTCAAAAAAATGAATAGGAAACAGAAAATAACATGTCAAAGTTTCCTTCACCTCTTTTATTGTATGTATTGCACTAAGTTAGTATTTGGTAGAAAAAAATACATGTAAAGAATATTTTTGACATGAACCACTTACACAACTTATTACAGTGTGTCATAATGGGAAGTCTGACAAAGCAAATTGTGCCCAGAAAGAATAATTAGGCTGGTTTATCAGAGCCTTTCCAAAGTGCCTAAGGGCAAGTTTTACAACGGCTTTCTTTTGAATACTCAGCTACATAATCATTGCTATTTTCTGCGAAGCAGCCAATTCATATTCTTGACAGCAATTTGACCTCTGAAAGGTCATTGTTTGTCAAAAAACGAGTGCTTAAGACGACTGAAAAGCGGAGTTTCCTTCTTTCATTCTGCCGGGTAAAATCAATTATTTTAGGCGATGTTTGTAGACTAATCTACTCGTACCAACGGGATATGACCGGTTGAGCCGCCTACAAGTTGAGCCGCCGGTAATTTCTATGGAACGTCAAGCGCGTCTTCCAGTGAATGTAGTGCGTCTCTCAGTGAATGTAGTCGGCTTGCCGATGTCATCAGTGAATGAACCCCCCGGATACCAGCTACATATTCATCCCACAGTCTTGTCAGTCATTGATTTTGCTCGTATTGCCGTTCGTGATGTATAATTGTGTAATTGAAAATTAGAATTTTGATTATTTTATGTACTACATTTTTATAAAAAATATATGAAGTTGTATAATTGCAAAATCGTAGCACTCAATAATGAATGTAATTGTTGGTTTTGGCTGTTTTTGTTTTTGAATACAGTATG